ACCTTGTGGCACCTATCGTGTCCTCAATTATGCCACTATTCCCGATCGGTACCCTGTGTCTCATCTTCAGGATTTTGCTGCCGCCCTTTTCGGAAAAGCGGTTTTCTTAAGGACTGACCTGGTGTGTGCCATTCATCAGATTCCGGTCGTCCCTCAGGATATCCCCAAGACCATTTGGACTCTTAGGATTCATCCGCATGCCGTTCAGTCTTCGTAATGCCGCCCAAACGTTCCAGGGGTTCATCGACCATGTCTTGCGTGGCCTACCATTTTTGTACGCCAAAATCGATGACCTCTTGGTTTCCAGGCGCAATGCGGAGAAACGCAAAGCGCACCCTGCCTTAGCGTTTGACTGCCTCGACAAGTTTGGCGTTATCATCAACACTTCCAAGTGCGTGCTGGGTGTGCCTTCGCCCGAATTCCTCAACCATCATGTCGATTCTGAAGGTTTGCACCCCCTGTCCTCCCAGGTTGAAGCAAGTCGTTATTTCCCTCCACCAACTTCCAAGCGTCAGTTACAGTAATTCCTTGGCATGGTCAACTTTTACCGCCGGTTCCTATCGCACTGTGCCGACCTTATGCTGCTGCTCACCAGCATGCTTTCTGGTCCCAAAGACCCCCTCCCCCCAAGCTGACTGGTGAAGCACTGAATGCTTGTGAGAGAATCGAGAATTCCCTCGCCGACGCCACCTTGCTCACGCATCCCGCTTCCGAAGCTCGGCTATACCTGATGGTAGATGCTTCGATCGGTGCCGCAGATACATTCCTTTAACAGTACCTTGCTGATTCGACTCAACCACTGGCCTTTTTCTCCAAAAAACTGTTGCCAGCTGAGACGCGCTACAGTAGCTTAAGTCGTGAACTACTAGCCATTCACCTGGCTGTAAAGCATTTCCTTGAAGGTCGGAACTTCATCGTTTTCACGGACCACAAGTCGCTGACTTTTGCTCTTCGTTCCCACTCCGATAGGTACAATTTGAGAGGGATCGCACACCTGGACCACATCTCTCAGTTCACCACTGACATCCGCCACATTGATGGCACGAAGAATGAGATGGCTGGTATGCTGTCCAGGCCCTCAATATCTTCCCTCTAACTCTCACACGGGATCGACCTAGACGTCATGGTGGCTGAACAACAACCAATCGGTTGTCCTGGCGACGAGTGCGTTAGTGGTCTCCAACTCAAAGACGTTCCTCTGACCACCGGCTCTGGTACCATACTTTATGACGTCTCGACTCCTTTTCATCGTCCTTTTGAGCCCGTCTCAGTGCGTCGAGCTGTAATTCAAACTCTGCATAGACACGCCCACCTTAGAATACGACCCTCTTAAAAGCTCTTCGCGGAAAGGTTCGTCGTCGTCCTGCGGCCCCACTTGACTGACACCATGTGCTTAGCTAACTTAAGTAATTTTAGTAGCTATGACTGTG